TATATTTTTTTATGCTATATATTAGAACTAGACTTTATTAGAACTATACAGTATTAAATATATACTGCAAATAACTAAAAGTGAATTTCAAACAATTATTAGAGCTATTAGCCCCCTAAAATATTTTATGCACAGCTAAAGGTTTTTATGAGAACCCCGTTTACAGAACACCGGTGTTGCCTGGACTTATGATTAATGCGCACATTATCACTGATAATAAACTAAAAAACCTCAAAGATTAGGGAGTGCTTTACTAGTACTTTGTTTCCTTTTGTATCAAATTAAAATTTTATATCGCATTTCTTCTCAAAGACTGAACACTGCAAAAAACAATACAAAAATAAGTAAAACATTGTTAAATTAAGTTTATTTAATCTTCATTTGAGGAGGTAAAAAAGATGATTTGCCAATGGAATAAATATTTTTACTCTTAAAATAAGATAAATAGATCATATCCACCTGAAATAAGACAATGCAGTATTTATTATTTATTTTAAATGTAAATTGTCTCGTTCAGTTGGCAAAGCGTGTCACTTTCCTCAATTCAAGATAAAAATGGCTTCTTTAGATTTCAATTTTTTGCAATGAAAGGTTCAAAATGAGAACAAATTATTCCTCCTACAGCTCCCACCTATGGGCCAGGCCGCCATATTGGATTGGGAGTTCGCGGTGGGAGGGAAGCACCTATCCCGCTGCAAGGGGCGTTATTTTCCCAGGTCTGAACAAGGAAATTCCTCCGTCCTCGTTAGAGAGGAATGCAGTTAGCGGGCGGGGAGGGGAGAGGAGTGGGCCCTCAGTGAGTCACCCTGAATGAACAAGCGCCGTGATGAATCCCGATCATCTCTGGCTGGGATCCATCCATCCAGCTCTGGGAACATCGGAGCGTTTAGCAGGAATCACAAACATGGTTTCTTACCGTTTGAACATCGCCTCCATGTCTTTAATCTGCTTGCGGGAGAACTCTTTAAACTCAGTGTAGGGGTTAAACACACGAGAGGACCGAGGAGGAGCGTGCCCGTCGTTGATGTCCAGTCTCCGGTTGAGTTTGGTGGCCAGCTCGGACGGCGTATCTCCACAGGCATGGTCCGGTTCGTGGGACTGGGCTGGTACCGGAATCTGTTCGGACTCGGGATTCTGTTCGGCCTCCTCTGCAGCTGCCAGCCGCGACTGCAGCTTCTTAGCGAGCTCGTCTGATGCCATGCTGAAGGTCCAACGTCTCTCAGGGAAACAGTCAATTAAAATGGAGTCACACAGTTCTGCCGGTTTTCAACTCCGGACCAAACCTACTTCCTGCAAGACTTCACAATAAGAGGCGCATGATGTCCAATAAATCATATCTTATTTGTTCAGATATCTCTCCTTGTCTCTCTATTTGACCAGGACATGTAACCCATCAGATCCCATGTTATGTTTATTACAATCAGACCGCAGGTGTTCTTCACAGGATTAACTCAAACTACTTTACCCAGAATGCACCGCTGCCTCAACTGTCTTACCAATTCTCACTATTGTTGTGACACTAGAGGGCGCTATTAGGATCCACTCATGAACATACTGTCAAACTATTGATACTGCATTGATCTCTATTTGTTCACCGGATTGCTGATTGCTCGTTGGTAGTACGGGGTCCAAGTGAAGCCAACGGCCGCCATATTGGTACTCCCTAGTTAGACGGGTCTCAATGTAAACAATCTGTGCGCTACAGCATCGAAAACAACCATGTTGTTCTCATTTTCAGGGGGACTGAAGACTTTAAAATAAAGATAAATTCATCACTTTGACACATATTTAGTGTTTCATACCATCAGTAGATTACTTATAATACAAAACAGGTACATCACA